TTCTTCAGGCCTTAATTATGCCAGGGTTCTGCTTAGCTCTCCTTCCTCAGTACCTATGTGGGGGTTAGGAAATAACTGAGATACTCTTCAGGCCTTAATTATGCTAGGACTCTGCCTAGCTCTCCTTCCTCAGTGCCTATGGGGGGGTCACCCACACGCATGATTTTGCAGCACAGCTTTCCTCATAAGCATGACCCCATGGCTCAGCAAAGAGACACTCATGTTGCCATCATTCAGGGCCTGTTGGGTATAAGTTGTTAAGGCTTCTATATGCTATATAACATCTTTATTACCTATTTGTGGTACTGAGATTGAAGCCAAATGATCACACCATTGGAATGCTGAATGTGTCCAAGAAGATTGTAAATGAAAAAGGTTTGCTGGTTTTGGCAGGGTCTGAATTAACTGTCCTTGCACCCAAGCATAACCTAGGGAGCATCATCCCAACCACCCTGGAGGGGACCACGGCCGTAAGTCAGTGTCACATAGCCAGTATGTCCCATTTGGAGCAAGCCAATAAATACCTGGTTGCTGCACCCAATCGGTGGCATGCCAGTCAGGGTCTCGTAACATGATAATGTGGTCACAACATTCTCCAGGTATCCGCCCCATCTCTCTCCTTTTGTTTGGCCATAGGTACTGGGTGGTGATTTCTTTGTTCCCAGCACAAAGGAGCATTTTGGCTGAGTTGGCCAAAGGAAGGGGTGAACCACGTAAATCCATCCCAAGTTTGCATTATTCCGTTTTAAAAGGGCCGTTTGGGGCATGGTCACCACTTGTTTTAGTTGGCGGGGATGCTAAAGTGAGAGCTAATGAGCTAGTCCTTTCCATTGAAAAACTTTTCCCATGTCCCTTGTTCTTAAGAGTGTATTTATTTATTTATTTTGAGACGAAATCTCACTCCATCGCTCAGGCTGGAGTGCAGTGGTATGACCTCGGCTCACTGCAACCTCTGCTTCCCGGGTTCAAGCAATTCTCCTGCCTTAGCCTGCCAAGTAGCTGGGATTACAGGTGCGTACCACCACACCTGGCTAATTTTTGTATTTTTAATAGATAACGGGGTTTCACCATGTTGACCAGGCTGGTGTGAAACTCCTGACCTAAAATGATCCACCCATCTTGGCTTCTCAAAGGGTTGGGATTACAGTCGTGAGCCACTGCACCTGGCCAAGGGTGTTTTTAATGGGCCAATTATAGATATCGTCTTTTGTTATGGGAGCACTAAGAATACCAGACCGTTTCTGTGATATAACAAATTTTTGGTATTCTATCCAGTCCTGACCTTGGAAGGATACCCACCATGGCAGGCCAGAGCCACTGGAAAGAGGCATGAGTCCACATATCCAGCAGGTATTCTTTTATAATCTGCATAATCCTGAGCCCGTTGTAGAAACAGGTTTCATGGGCATCAGTGGGTGGCAGTGGCAAGAAGGTGTAGGGATACATGACTAATAATAGCAAAGTTGTGAAATTCATCTTAGTTACTAAAGGGTGTTAAATCAGACAAGGCAAGTGTCCTCTTCTTTATGACACAGCAGATGACAGTATATATAGGACAATAATTGCAATGGTTATTGTACAATAAACATAGGCATTTCTTTGTGTACAGGCCTGGTCCCGTGTCTTGGATTTAAACAGGCCACAGCAGCTGTTGTCTGCTTCTAATCCTGGGTTGAAGGTCAATGTTTAGTGAACTGGAGGTGAAGGTCTTTGGTAGGAGTTACAGTTCATTCAGGAGGTTGTACCTTTTTAAGATGAGAGATGTGAATCCATAAGTCTACACCCTCTAATTTTGTGGCACATAGATTGGTCAATAGTACTGGGTATGGGCCCTTCCACTGGGGTTGAATGGAATCCTTTATTAGATGTGTTTTCCAATAGACAAAATCTCCGGGTTGCGGATTATGACCAGTCCCCTTATCTTTCATGGAGCACACTGTGAAAAGAATTCTTCACCAAATCTTGTCTTTTTTTAAGGTGATAAATAAGTCCCTCACAATATTGCAATATATCTCCCTTGAGAAAAATTGGGTTGATTATGTTTTTTC